TGCTGGTTTCAGTTCAGATCAGCTCTTAGCGAGTGAACTAGGGTATAGAAGACCATTCTATCACCTTGTCTTAGTAAATCTGCTCCAGTAAGAATAAATAAATCTTTAAAAAAAATGTACTAGTCCCCAGGCCAGACCAGACCAGGAGCAAATGGATGTGAAAACATGTAAGACTAGAACTTACAATAACTTACAATAACCACTTGGCCGGGCACTGTGGTGCGGTAGATGAAATCACCTCTTGGAATACCTGCATCACTATAGGGAAGCGTGAGATCAACTCACGTCTCTACTTCCAATTCAGCTTTGCACTGATGTACATCCCTGGAGGCAGCAAGTGATGGCTTAAGCCATGGTCGCCCACATGGGAGACCTGAAGGGTTCCTGGCTCTGCTGTTTCAGGCATCTGAGTGAACCAGAAACATGTAAGATCTCTCTCCTCTCTCTACCTAACACTCTGCCTTTCATATAAACAGAAGATAATCTTTAAAATAACCCATTCTCATAATGCAACTTTTCCTTCTTTTATAAAATTCTAACCAGCTCAATGTAAAGGGTGAATGTATTACAACACTAATAAGCTCCCAATTAAAAGGTTTTTGAGAAATTGTTCCAATTAATTGAATGTCTTAATTAAATCAGGTTCCGAGCATATTAAAAAATACATTAGAGCCTGGTATTGTGCCCTAGCAGCTAAAGTTCTCAACCTGAACATGCCGGAATCCATATGGGTGCCGGTTCTAATCCCAGCTGCCCCACTTCCCATCCAACTCCATGCTTGTGGCCTGGGAACGCAGCCAAGGATGGCCCAAAGCCTTAGGACCCTGTATCCACGTGGGAGACCCGGAAGAACTCCTGTTCCAGGCTTTGGATTGGCACAGCTCCAGCCATTGCATTCACTTGAGGAATGAATCATCGGATGGAAGATCTTACTCTCTGTCTCTCCTCTTCTCTATATATCTGACTTTTCAATGAAAATAAATAAATGTATTTTTAAAATACATTAGCAGGCAAAATACTGTGGTGCAGCAGACTAAACCACCACCTGAAGGTGCATCCCGTACCAGATTGTCTGAGGTCAAGCCTCACTTCTTCTGACCCAGCTTGCTGCTGATCCAGCACTCTGTTGGCTCAGGTATCTGAGCCTGTCACAAAGAGGCCAGCATGGAGTTCTGGGCTCCTGACTTCAGCAGTCATTGGATGAGTGAACTAGTAGATAGAAGATTCTGCCTCTCTGCCACTATGGCTTTCAAATGAATCAATTAACAAATACATTTCATTTCACTGAAAGTGTGACAAACAGACAGAAACAGAGATCTCAGATCTCACGGTTCAAAGTCCGGTGGCCGCAATGGCCAGTACTGGGCCAGACCAAAATCAAGAGGTAGAAGATCCATCTGGGTCTTCCACATGGGTGGCAAGGGGCCTAGACTTGTACCATGTTTTGCTGCTTTCCGGGAACACCAGCAGGAAGCTGGATCAGAAGTGGAGTAGCCTGAACTCAGTAATCATTTGCGATATCCGCATAAGAGATGTCAGGTTAATTGTCTTTGCCACAATGCCATCCTCTTAATTTTTAACAAAAATTCAAAACATACATTAGCACATATTCCTAGTTCATATACACAGTGCTCCCCAAATAATTTCAATTTTTTTACACCTACACTTCAAATAAACAACTAGCTTCTTGTCAGACAAATAAAGAACCACACACTGAGTATACTTAGATCTAGCTTACATCACACATTCAGATAATGTAAAAATCTAGGATGAATCTGTATTGCCTGAGGAACTGCTTGGAATTTACACAAATGTCCATTAAAAAACAATACCTCTTATAGGATCAATGTAAGCTTGTATGGGAAGACCCCAAACTGGGCCTGTGGGTTCTCATGGTGGAATAGGGACTCACGACGGGTACTGACAGCAGAGAGAAGCAACATGTACAAAGGAGCGACAATGCAGGAGGCAGGCAAGACCCCAGCACCGGGCCACGCTCTGCCAGGGCTCTGATCCACAAACAGGACTCACCCTGATTTGGAGGAAAACGTGGGCATAGCAGTGGCATTTCAAAGGGACCATGGTGAGTATCTGCTATCTACCAAGCAGTGAATGCAGCAAGAGCAGAATCCTATTCCACCTCCAAGGTACTGTCTCAAGTGAACTCCCCTCTTCCTCGCGTGCATCCCAGGCTTACAGGGCTCACCTCCACAACTGCTCCAGGGGGCTGCCTGTCCACAACAGGTGTCTCCAGCTTCAGGCTCCATGCAGTTTCTACCACTCCCATACAGCGCATTGAAGCAGATGTTCATTAATTCCGAGTCTTTCCACAGACAGGCCTGACTCTTGGTTTCCAATCAGCACAGGCAGTTGCTTTCTCTAAGTTTTTTCTTTGCTCATTTATGAAAACATTCTAGAAGGGGATGAAGCTGCTATTCTTATGGAGGTCAATGCACTAACACCCATATGTGTACAACCACTACATATTCCCAAACTACTTCTGCTTATCTAACAACATTCCTATTTAGATCATCAGGTAATTTGAAAAATTTACCCAGAGACTTCCCGCAACTCGGACTCTGCTTTATTGAGCGCTTGAGCAAAATCTGCAAATCAAATCAAACCAATTACAACCCAAACATATATTTATAAATACAATGTTTTATTTCGTCAGGCCTAATTTTTCTCTTCTGCTTAAAAAAATAAATAAACAAAAGTCTGAAAGCCTTTTTATGAGTGTGATGGGTTAGTTGAGCTCTGCTGGGAAGTACTAGTCTTTATGTGCATCATACACACATTAGCTTAACCAGCGTTTCTGAAAATTCAGAGGCTTTCTAAAGTTCACAGAGGTCCCCAGTAATATCTAAATCTCAACCATCAGTCAGAGAAATCAAACTTCAGTTTGGAAATAATAACAGTTTAATAGACAAAACATTATCACAACGAATAAAAGACTAAAGCATTGCCCTTTGTTCATTTAACAGCATGAAGAATGTTCTTGCTGTTGTACATTTAAAACTTCTTAAGACCAAATTAAGTTACAGGCAACAATACACAAAGACATAAATCTAGCACTACAGACATAGTACAAATAAGCAAAATACAAAGTACTCGTGTCCAGCGCTTTCTGGAAATCTCATTATATAACTCACCAATGCATTTTGAAGCTACACTTCAGACAAAATGAATGTGTTTTTTAAAAACCTTATAAATGTATAAATCCAAACCACGAAACATTTCCTAAACATTCTATTTACTCAAAGTACAAATGGAGTTCTGGAAACTGCATCCACAATGCTATTTAAACTAGATTTCATGGAATCCTAAATGTATTTAGCTGTATTGTGGAGCTTAATTCCTCCATCCCACTTGCTCATCATACTTATCTTACTTCCCAACAAATATTCTCAAAGTTAATTGCTATACAATTAAAATCAAACTGCTATTCTAGATAAGCATCATTTTTTCTTCCATAAGGAGATTGGAAGTGGCCCACTGGAACTATAGCACACAACAAATATTTCATCACAAACAAAGTAGAGCAGTCATAGTAATGTCTTCAAGAGTTACAAATATGTTCATGTTAATCAATAATGTAGACTGTAGAAGCCAAAAACCTATCTTGTTTCCCTAGCTTCTGTGAACATTCTAACTGCTCCAAGTCTAAAACCTGCGAAATGATTTCCTCTTATAAATATATACATTCAATCTCCCCTACATCATGAAGAGCCATTTAATAACTTCAGTCGCTAAGTTTACGTATACTTGTCTTGAAAACAGACTGTGTCAGAAGTAGAATTCATTCCAGAACAGATCTTAAGGGAGCGGGGATGGCAGCACGTGAAGCGTAAAGCTGCAGCCTGTGCCTCCCTGAAGGGAGCGTCAAGCAGGCCAGGAGCTTTGCGTGGCTCCTGCCCATCGCACCTGGACTACAACCACAACGCACAGCCTTACACACAGCCCTAACCCCCTGTCCTCTGTGTAACCCCCAGCAGCACCGCAGTGCCCAGAGTTTAGGCTGTCAACCTGAGCAGCTCATTAACTATTTCTGGGACCTCCTTGTCACAATATGCAGCAAACTGTGGCGGGAATTTCATGAAGCAAATCCTCTCCAACTTAAACGTGAGATGGGGGAGGGGAAGGCAATCCTCCCAAATGTGGAGCCATTGACATAAACGGGACTCCATTCAGGGTGACGGTTAGCTGACCTGGTAACGTGGTTTACAACAAACAAACAAACAAAATGAGCCAAAATGTTCTAAGTAAATGCTTCAAGAAGGTTTCCATGAACATGAGCTGTTCTATGAGAACGTCATTCTGTTCACTTGTTGTGAGAAGCCTGAGGAAGAAGAAAACAAACATGGAAGCAAGCGTGTGTCTCAGAGTGGCCACCTGTGCCATGCAAGGGATTTCAATGCTAGTCTCTCAATGCTTTTTCCTCTAAAAACAGGCATTCAGCTGAAATCACCCCAGGGAATGAGCTCACACGGAGGGAACGGGTGTCTCCATGGGAGAAGCAAAGCAGAGAGTGCAACAAGGACTTAGGAAACACGTGATGCTGCCTCAAGAGGGCTCGCCCAGCAGGCTCAAGGAGCAGCCTCCCTCCCTAGTGCACCTGCCATGAGAGACTAGCCCCACCCTTCACCTGGAAGTAAGAGCCAGCGGCTCACCCTGAGTGCTCCCACAACATAGCTACCCATCCCCAGTCCCAGTGTACAGGCACTGTCCTGGCTCTGGGGACTTCCTCTGCAGCCAGCATGCCATGAGGGTGTGCTGACATAGTTTTGTTTCTTTGCTAACCCCTGCACAGAAACGAACATTTTTACCTCCAGTGTACAGGAAAAACTCAAGTCAACATTTTGATGGCAAACAGACTGCCAACATAGGCCCCAGGGCTCTCTAGAATGTCCTGGACACAAAAGAGAAGACAAGATAAATCATGAATTCCCTAGATTCAAACACAGAAGCGCGTTGTCAAGTGCCTGGCTCTGCCTAATCAGTTAGGAGGAAGGAGGTGCCATGCAGTCTAGAAATTCATGGCACATGCACTGGCAGAAACCGTATACCATGAGAATAACCAGGCTCGAGGGGACAAGGCTGACAAAGACCACCCCGAGGGTGACTTTCTTGGACACCAGTAAGTAGATCCCCAAGGGCAGGGAGCTGAAGTAGAGCAAGCCCAGCAGCCACACCAACACCCGGATGGAAGTCTGGAACAGCAGCGATGTGCAGTTCCACACGGTCCAATTGTGTGACACGGTGGTGACCGAGTCGAAACTTGCAGGCCTGTAGAACTCCACCACGGGCGTGGAGCTCAGGGACGGGGAGTTGTCTCTCTGCACCTCCATGATGGTGATGACCAGGCAGTTGGAGGACGTGTGAGAAGGGCTGACCAGGGAGGCTAGCCTCTTGGGTGTCAACAGTAGTTCGGTGGGGTTGTCAGGCAGGCACTTCTTCCCTTTGCCTCCACCACAAGTCAAGTTCACAAGGATGTTGTTGTCATCAGGCAGGCTGCTCACCTCGTCATCTGGCAGGCAGGTCTCAAACCTGCAGAAGGGGCAGACGATGACCCCTTGCGGGGAGTCCCCAAAGTCGATGATCTTGTAAAGGCATTTGGCACAGACCCTGTGACAACAGCCCAGAACTTTGGGCTTCCTCTGTTTCAGATTGTAACGATTGTAACAGATCTTGCACTCCAGCTCATCTGACACCTGAGACTCAGCGGTGTCCTCAGATGGCTGGCAGGCCATCTTGGATTCCGGATACAATTCTGCAGATGCCGCAGGATGAGGACTGACTTGGATTAAGGAAATCCTTTGAATATTCTATTGACCCAATCAGGCAGAGAGGCAGAAGGGCTTAGGGACGTGGTAGAAAAAGCCAGACACCTTTGGGCATTTTCAGCTTCTGTGCAGAACTATCTCAGAGGCAGAATGTAAGCAGGCACGTGGAGAGTCTGCAAAGAGAACAAAGAGATTCTCATGGAGCAAGCAGGTCATGGAAAAGGCATTCCTGAAAAGCACTTTGTGGGATTTCCCAAGCTTTACAGATTAGATGCAACGGAGGACAAAGCCTAAATCCCCTGCACGGCACACACTGCCACCCAGGGAGGGAGACTGTGTGCTGCAGGTTTAGCTGCTTCAGGACACAGGTGTGCTGGAGACAGAGGCAAGAAGAGCCTTAAATGGGTTCAGTGTGCACTACAGGGCATGTGCTGTGGAGTAGGGCCCTTCAGGACACTGGCAGTCCAGATGTGAGAGATTTTCACTCTGGAACTTGTGATAATGGGACATGGTAGCAGAAATAACAGACCGAATTGTGGCACCATTGGTATGTGTGCCAGTCGACCAAATGCCCTTGATACTGCTTAGGAACACACAAGAGAAGGGATTCTTGAGGCAAGTGTTGTTTTAAAGCCCAGAATGCTCCATTTCCGATTCAACTTCCTGCTGATGCATCTTGGAAAGCAAGGAGCATGGTCCAAGCTCGTGGGACTCTGCCACCCACATGGTAGACCTAGATGGAACTCTAGGCTCCTGGTTTCAGCCTGGCCCAGCTCCAGTCATTGCAGCCATCTGGGAAGTGAACCAGAGGATGGAAAACCAATCTCTCTTTCTCTCATTTACTCTGCTTTCAAATAAATTAATGTATCCCTTTAAAAAAGAAAAAGAATCATAAGGGAGAATGCTAACAACATGTTTCAGGAGGATTGGATAGAAGTGAGAGCCCATTTAAGCAAAGTAGGCTGCTCTCAGCTTCTCAGTGTGAATACATACATCACATCGATGGCTCTACGGCTTTAACTTCAACCTCAAATTCTTGGTTCCAGTACCAGCCTTGAAAAACATAGCTGCACACACTCACTCAAGGAAGAAAGAAGCACAGAACCACACCCAAATGAGTGTCACGAACAAGTCAAGAAAAATTCCCAAAAAAGTAAGTACAGACAACATTTGCACAATTCTGTCTACAGACATGCATGACTACCAAGAAATACACAACATTTACCTACTTACCTATTCTGAGTGCTTCTTTGTCTTAAGACTTATTTAATTATCTATTTATTTAGAAGGCAGACAGATATCTTTCATCTGCACAAATCTACCCAAGTTGCTTCCACAGCTGGGCCTGGTCCAGGCTGAGGTTAGGAGCCTGGAACTCCATCTGGGGCTTTACATGGGTGGCAGGAACTTAAGGCCTTGGGCCGCCTTCCCCTGCTTTCCCAGGAGCATTAGTATGGAGCTACATAGGAAGTGGAGCAATTTGGACTCAAACCAGTGCTCTAGCATGGGATGCCAGCATTACAAGAGGCTGATTTAACCCACTTACCCCATAAGATTGCCTCCCCTTAGAGCATCTTATATAAAGTCTTTTCCCACAGTAAATACAAAGCACAACACAATATACAGTCCTATTACTATTACTAGTGGTATTACTATTACTGGCTTTGGAATAATGGTTAAAGGTTGGGTTTCATGAAAACACTCAGTTCTCAACTGATAGTACTAACAGCAGGGAGCAACAAGATGAGAAAGCTCCAAATTACTTATCTAGCTTTAATAACACATTTTTGGTGGCAGATTTGTCTTAAGTTGTGCTTTGCTTAAAAAAAAGCACCAAAATGTAGTTGAATTTCTGAGCACACACCTAAGCAGAAGGCTGTCAGAACAGTTCAGAGAAACAGAAAGCAACTGTGCTGGAATTTAAATTTGCTACGGATTTATGCTGCATTATCACAAGTAGTTGTCGATACATAGTATCTTCCTTTTTATTTATTGTTGCAATTTTTAAACCATCTTCTTGCTTTACACAATTATACAATGGATACCAAGGCAAGATAGCTGGTGCCAAAAGGAAGTCAACCTAGGTAAGACTTTTCAAAACAGAGTTTATTGGGGAGGGCCTTTGGTGCAGGGCGGTTGAGATACCCACATCCCACATCAGGGCACGTGGTTCTCATGCCAGCTCCAATTCTGATTCCAGTTTCCTAATGATGCACACCCTGGGAGGCAGCAGTGATGCCTCATGTGGTTACACCCTGTCACTCATGTAAGAGACCTGGATTGAGTTCCCAGCTCCTGGTTTCAGGCAGGCCCTGTCCCAGTTACTGCAGGCGGAGTGAACTAGGATTTGGGGTAGTGCTCACTCTGTCTCAAAAAGAGTTATGTAAGTTTTTAAGACTAATGCACATTAGTATTCTTAATCTCAGAACTGCTGCCAAGGACCAACATCTATGTATCCAGTCTTACACATCAACAACTCTTCTATTCCATTTCCTAATCATTTCCCTCATTCTTTATCCTGATCCTGTTCAGAACATACATGCTCAGGCCATTGCAAAATGTGATTGTGTCTTGCCCCCAATTCCACACAACTGGTGCTTTTCTCCTACCGCATGGCCATCTGCAGAATGGCAGGCAAGCAGGGGGAAATAAACATGTTCCAACCCAGTACCAATCCAGTCCTTGCTGCCTACACACACGGGCTCCAACCTGGGCAGCTCCTCAGTGACCAGTTTCACAGGAGCCGCCACTGGCTTCCTGATGAACACACTTCCTGCTCTTACACCAGCCTCTGCAGTAGCCACTGAAGACCACAGGCACACCTAAAGAAGATGTATTTTGTTCGCCTTGTAGCCACCCTCCCACATAGCCCCAGCGACTCCCAAATGCAGGCATGCAGGAGCTAGCAGGAAGAGTAGGAATTGCAGCAGTGACTGCCCCCATCACCTTCAAAGGATCAAACTATGTATGGAGTTGTGTGAAAAAAGGAACCCAGTGTATGAAACACACACAAAAATGGTAAAAACACAATGTGGACAATTAAGCAAAAGGGTACCTACATGCACAGAAAGCTTGGGTGAACATAAACACCAACAGAGGTCACTGTGATGGTGAGACGCACCGTCGCATTGCCATTTGACAGTCGGCCATCACATCCTCCTTTTCTGTACCACACTTCCAACATTCAGTGAAAGAGCAGCAGTAGGAATGCCATGTTGGGCTTGCCACAGTCTCCAGCTGGTAACTGTCAACCTAAACTGTCATCTTTATCAAACTGAGCTATTACTGAAATCAATGCTTTCTGCTGATATCAGGCCTCTGACTAGGATACAGTGTGATGTGACCATAACACATGATTTTTAAAAATTCACTTAGGGGAAGCTCCTTGGTGACATGTAGAGAAAATACTAAAATATTCAAAGAGCTCATCAAAAAGGTAACTACTCTAATCCCAAGGCCAGCTCTAGCACACCCACTTGGAAGATGTCATCAAGTCCCACCTCCAAGAGTAGCAATTTCTGGGCAGGAGCCTGGTACCCTGGTAGCTTCCTCAGAAATGCAGCCAGCACAAAAGTTTCTTCATTGAGTGGCAGAATACAGCAGGGTGCTTGTTCTCTTGAGAAATAAGCTACTGACTGCTAGAGAGTTATTTTTAAAAGCATTTATTTGTCTCAGAGTAAATCTAAGCTCCCTCAAATAACTTGAGCAATAACCTAAGGTCTATAGATGCACCCACATACAATAGGGTTTATCTGATAAGTCCATCACCTGTTGAAAATTTCTTCAGTGGAAGTGGAATATTGAATGCACATGACCTCACATACATCTGGACTCAATAACAGAGTGCCGAGTTTCCTCCTGTGATTCTAAAGCTGGCTGCCTGGGAACACCAAGCCATTGCCCAGAATTGCAAGGAATGCTAAGGCTGGCCTGGGAAAATATTCAAGTGCCAACTTCCAAGTACAATTCCTACCTAATGTGCATCTTTTTCCCATCATTGTAAAACCAAAGCATCTTAAGCAAAACCATCATTACTCAGGGGGCATCTGGACACACTGTTTTTTTTAAAGATCTATTTATTTTTATCGGAAAGGCAGATTTATAGACAGAAGGAGAAACAAAGATCCATCTGCTGGTTCACTCCCCAAGTAGCCGCAATGGCCAGAGCTGACGTGATGCGAAGCCAGGAGCCAGGAGCTTCTTCTGGACGTTCAAATGGGTGCAGGCTCTCAGATATTGGGCCATTCTCTACTGCTTTTCTAGGTCATAAGCAGGGAGCTGGATGGAAAGTGGAGCAGTCAGGACAAGAACCAGGCATACATATGGGATCCTGGCACACGCAAGGTGAGGATTTAGCTAACTGAGCCACTGCATGAACAGTGTAAACTTTTTTTTTAAGGATTTATTCTTTGCTTTGGAAAGTCATATTACAGAGTGAAGGAGAGACAAAGAGAAAGATCCTCCATCTGCTGGTTCATTCCCCAAGTAGCCTCAATGGCCAGAGCTGAGCTGATCCGAAGCCAGGAATCAGGAGCTTCTTCCGAGTCTCCTATGTGGGTACAGGGCCCAAATCCTCGGACCATCCTTCACTGCTCCCAGGCCACAAACAGGAAGCTGCAAGTGAAGTGGAACAGCCACGATATGAACTGGCGCCCGTATAGGATCCTGGGTGTGCAAGACAAGGACTTTAGCTGCTAGGCTACCACGCTGGGCCCTGTGTACACTTTTTCTTAAGGTTACAGTCAGTAGAAGTGTGTGGTCCAATGAAAGAAACCTATTGTAGCCCATTCCCCCACCGCCTATACTCCTATCAAAAGCTGTGTATCACAGCTGATAAAGATGCTGAAATGTAAGAAGCCAGGCCCTGAAGAATATATACTGTATGAGCCCATCGGATAAATATCAAAAAGCAAGCAAAAACTAAGCTGTAGTGATCAGGGTTGCAAAGTTAAATGGCAGAACTGGTGTATCAAAGCCAGGAAAGATTAAGCATAATAACAGGACATCTGGTGCCTGGGAAGGGAAGGCAGCAGGGCCACAGCAGGGCCACAGCAGGGCCACGGCAGGTCGTCACAGGCTGCCAAGGGCTGTGCATCTT